TTGTATCCTCTATACCCTAGCCTAGAAAATAACTTTTTCTATGTTAATTTTTTTGAACATTTCAAATAAACAAATAACAAATAACAAAATTCGTAGTCATAAACCAATTCATCAAAATTTTAACTGCATATTTTTTTATGAAAACAAGCACGTATTTGCGACCCATTACAAAAATAGTTTTTTTTGTTGTGATATCACATTTCCGCCTGAAAAGCACCGCAAAAACTATGAAAAATGCTGTAAAAGGGATCAATCGAGCCTTTAGGGCACAATTCCTTTACTCATGCGATAAATCATTGACAGCTAGACGAAAACATGCAATTTTGTAGCTTTTATTATCGTTGCAGTATCTCGTTTGTGTTCCAACTTAATCCAATCAATTTTTTGCAGGAGAGCATCCCGCAGCAATGCAGCACGGCGGCCAACTGCGCCTAGAATATCCATTTTCTGCATGTCTTCTCAGCGTTCTGGTGGCGGTGGCGGGGCCGTAAAAACTTTCCAACTCCCGGGAACAAAACTAACAAACCAGGAGTGAAAAAGTTATCCCCGAACATGTATAAATGTGTAAATAGTGAAGAAACGGTGCAGTGATGAATTTCAATCGGACGATCCGTGACGCAAATCTCAAAATCAAGAGAATGTCTTCGTATTTGCAGTAATAAAGAGTGAGCTTGTTTGCTTAGTCGGTAGCCATCGGCGAACAAAACCTGAAGTTGGGAGTAAAGCGGTGGCGTTTGTTGCAAATTTAACAAAGTTTGAACTCCCTGAATACATTTATAATTCACCGGAATTGCTTTGCTCATCCGATGAACAGACCTGTGTTTTTTCGTCAATCACTTAAAGTGCTTTAAAGCTCAAATAGTGTTGATTGTGACCGTGCAAACTATAAGTGGGTTTCTACAATATTTTAGGTTACACATTGTTGTATATAAACACAATAACCACAAACAATAAGGGAATATTACTAAAAAAGTTTTATTACGATCCAAATACAATAAAGTAATTATACRAGTTTTTTTCAACGTCCTTGGTAGTCTTAATGATACAACTGTATATAAATTAGGGCCATATCTATTACCACTTATTGAAAACATTGTACATTTATATGAGACTTTAAGCATATTGTTATTTTTTTAAATGAAATCTATTCAGTGTAGCTAAGTCACAGATTGTTCTCGTTTTCTGTATTTCACTGTTAAGTTCTAACTGTTCGTTACGTTTATCTATTTTTAAAGGTTGTCATTGATGAAAATTTGATGTTTCTTAAGAATGTTGTTAAAATGTAATAAAACATCTCAATAAACTCTATATAAAACTCCTGTCTCTTTTGAATCCCACCAAAGGTGCTTACTTATTTTCCAGTTACTTTTAAACAAGAAAATAAAAAAAATTATGTACAAGCACTGATGATAAAAAAATTGAAAAACTTTGATCTCTTACATTTTCTTTTATGTTTATTTCTTCTTCCTAATAGCCTGTAGCAAAAAAACTTGGAAAATTATTTTTCCAACAGAAATAAATAGAGTCAAAGTGCAAAATTTATACTCTCATAACTTCGAAATTTTTATAGATAGAATTTTTTCCATGTTCCTGGTAGATACCAGGTGGTATTTTTTCTAGGGCGCGAGTTCTGGCGCATCCTGTATAATTTAAAACATTTAATATTGTCAATACACTTTAGCCGAAATTTACAAAATAATGAAAAGTTTTCATTTATTTCTATAATTTATTATTATTATTATTTATTATAGAAATAATTTTTTATTTAAATAATTATTTTGTATTTAATTTTTTCTATAATTTTTATTATAAATTTTATTATTTTATTATTATGTTACATTTACTTTATATTTTATTTTTCTTACTTTTTGTTTACTTATATCTATTTCACTAGTACACTTACGTACAGGGTGCTGCATATTGGATGTCGGAATAGGGAATCTCCAAAACTAAGAGGTTTAGCTAAAAACGAGTGATACCATTTTTTGAGAAAATAATATTGATGAAAACCGCATCACGTTATCGTCTTTTGTTTTCAACTTATAAACAAAAGTTGACAGTTGGCCAAAATTATTTAGAAAAATAACCAGAAAAGCGACAACGAAGCTTGAGAATATTTGACCGACTTGTAAAAAAATTAAAATTATTCTGTGCTTTTAAACAACCGACCAAAATGTTATGAAAAAGAAAACCGAGAAGAAGAAGAAATCAACTAGTATTAGGGAGTGTCGCAGCAAATTCTAATATTGCCATTAGAAAAATTGAAAATGATCTAGGGGTCAGTCAAAAGAATTTGAATTTGAATTTGAAGAATGCATTTTTACTTTACTAAAATTTTAAAATACTTATTTGATAATTACACACAAAATAACCATTTGTTTCCATGGCCAACCACCAACAAAATGTCAAAATATTACAAAAAMAWTTTTTTTATTTAAAAATTAACAAAAACATTTAAAACATATATTCTTATATATTTTTAAGATCAGAAAAAAAATAGCTTTTTAAAAATGTCATATGATTCCTATTTAAAAAAATACAAGTTTATCTTATTACTGCTAAACAAATAACTGAAAAAAATTGTTAACAACATTATTAACTTCTACGTAAAAAGTGCCTCTATAATGTTTTTGTTTCAAAGCTGTATCTTCTACAAAGATATGAATTTTTTTATATTTCGACAAAATGTCAACTTTTGTCTATTAAGTCGAAAACAAAAGACGATAGCGGGATGCGGTTTTTACCAATATTTTTTTCTCAAAAAATGAGTCCAGAATGTATCATCCGTTTTTGACTAAACCTCTCAGTTTCGGAGATTCACTCTGTACATTGCTGCATTTTGGATGTCCGAATAGGGAATCTCCGAAACTAAGAGGTTTAGCCAAAAACAAGTATAGTGATATTTTTTGAGGCTCTTTTTTGAAAAAATAATATTATTTGAAACCGCATTCCGCTATTGTTTTTTGTTTTCGACTTACAAACAAAAGTTGACATTTTAGCAAAATCAAAAAAAAACATAAATTTATATCTTATAACTGGCAAAAATAGTTAACTACATCATGAAATTCCTCGTAAAAAAGTGTCTTATAATGTCGGTTTGTCTGTGTGGTTTTAATCAATATTATTTTCGCAAAAACAGAACCCCAGAATGTATCACTCGTTTTTGGCAAAACTTTTTAGTTTCGGAGATCGATTTTTCGGACATATAAAATGCAGTACCCTGTGCATGTTTTAAAGCTCTTTTGCTCTTATCTTACATTTATTTGAATTATTAGTAATAATATTAATTAGTAAAAAAAATATTCTTTTATTTCTATTACAAAACTTACCTTTTCATAATATTTCTTTCAACTTACCTTTTGTGACTTACCACAACGCCGCTCGACAAACCCAATGTTTTAACTCAATATATTCATACAGAATTACACAAAAATTAAAAAAAAATCATTTCTTGCATTTTTACAACGTTTTTGTACTCTTCTAAGTCTCATGAACTCCCAAAATTATGAAGTATTTTAATTTTTTTGATTTTAGTCGAAATTTTGAGCGATTTTTTATTATTTATTGCTATAACTTTGAAATTATTGACGATAGTCCTTTTTGTGTGGTACTATTGGACAGCAAATTTAATTTTTTATCACACAAAAAAAGAGAATTCTTCTAATTTGAATAGTTATCAAGAAAATTGCTGATACAATCAAAAATATCCAAAATTTTAATTCAACTATAACTTCTAAACCATCAAGAATTTTG